GCAGTTATGAAAACCAAAAGAAATAAAAATAATTCATTTGAGGATGTCAAGTCAATATTATAGCCTTAAAATTTTTTAAATATTTAAGTCAAGCCCATAAATGGAAACTGGGCCAAACCTGCCCTTAAAATAAACTTACATAAGCAAACAAAAATGAACCGCGCTCAGACTATTTCCAAGCAGAATAAGGATATTTGAAGCCAAATATATAATAGATATTTTGGTTCTTCTGGGTCTTTTTTGTTCAAGGGAGGGAAGGTCTATGAACAGGCATGAACTTGACCAGCAGATAAACAATGGAGGTCTTACAAGCATCATTTCTCTAAGGGGAAACTGTAAGTTGATGGACAAATCTTTAGCCAATTTTATTTATTTATCTACCCATCTATTTATTTTATTATATGCTGATCTTTTATTCAAGCCCTATTTTAATACTCCACTGTGTGTCCTGGAGAGGACATTCTGGGGAAAAGAAAGGTGTCCAGAAATAAGGTGATCACTTCTCTCTGAATGAGCGTTGTGGATGAGATGATGTCTAAGGGGTTTTCTCTCCTAAAAACATTGCTATTATATTTCCATTTTATTTCACTTCTTATCTAGTGCCAACTCTGAACTTTACATACTAAGGAGACAAAGCTAAAAATCAATGCACATCTGGGAACATCCCTCTAGTAACCCTCCCAATTGACTCTTTGCCCCCAAGAACAAACCAAACCATCAGAAGTTGGGGTGTTCCATGGAAGTCACACAGCTTCTCCATTCTCTCTAGTTGGGGTAGCAGTGGTCAGAGAGGTACAGGATCCAAGAGAGAGGAGAGAAGGGCCCCTTACAGTTCACAAGTCCTGCTTTTCATCTTCGCGACACACACTTATCTAGTCCTATCTGCATTCTGCCCGTACTCACTTCCTACTTGTCTTTACATTGATTTGGCTTGTAAATTAAATCCATTTTTTAAAGAAAACAATAAATGGGAAATACTATCCACCAGGAAGGTAATGCTAAAAATAAATAACTCACTTCTTATTTATTGCTTGTTTTTAAAATCCAGTAAGGCTGCTCAGAGGGATACTTGGTGATGTCAATTACAATTATATTTTTCTTTTAACTTTAGTAGTGGTTGGCCATGTAAAGTGTACATTGTTCTCATAGAATGGATTATGTGATAATTATCCTCATTAAATATGTTACTGTGCTTAGAAAGATAGAGGTAGCCAGACAGACAGACATAAAGAAGATCGTATTGTCTCTCTTCTTCAAAAGGGGTCACCAGAAAAGAGTGCTCCTCTTCTATGAGTCGCTGCCAACTCACAGGGACCCTATAGACAGGGTAGAACTGCCCCTGTGCATTTCCAAGATTGTCAAGCTACATGGGAGTAGAAAGCCTCGTCTTTTCTCAGAAAATAGTCTTCTTTGAAAAATGGTGCTGGGATATGCACATTCAAAAGAAGAAACCATGTAAAACCATATTAAAAAATTAAGTCAACATATATTAACAACTGAAATAAAAAAGGACCAAACTCATTGCCATGAGCAGATTCCAATTCTGACACCTACGGTCCTATAGAACAGGATAGAACTCATAGCAACCCTATACAACAGGGGAGGACTGCTCCCGTGGGTTCTGAGACTGTAACTCTTCTCGGGAGTGGAAAGCCTGGTTTTCCCCCACAGAGAAGCTGGAGGTTTCAAACTTTCGACCTTGCAGTTAGCAGCCCACCAGGTAACAACTCTGCTCCCCGGGCTCCTCAACAACCCAAGGAGAGAAGGGAAGCCATAAAACCCGTAGAAGAAAACATAGAGTTAACTCTTCGTGACCATGGCTTTGGCAATGGATTCCTAAATACGACACCAAAACAGCAAGTCACAAAAGGAAAAATTAAAACATTCAACATTTTTATGCGTTAAAGGACATTATCAAGAAAGTAAAGCTCCACATACACACAAAAGAACGTAAAGATACAGTCCTTGGACAGGGAGAAAATATTTGATCAACTATATATCTTTTAAGGAAACTAGGATATATTAAAAATTCTTACAACTCAACAGCAAAAGGAAAGCAATCAAATGTAAGTTGGGCAAAGGATTTGAATATGCACATCTTCAAGGACGATAATACAAATGGTCAACAAAACTCCAAACCAAAGCCACAGCAACATGAAAATGTGATCAACATCATTAGTCATGAAGGAAATATAAATCAAATCAGTTAAATACCACTTCAAATCTAATTAAACAACCAAAAAATCAAACCCACAGCCATGGAGTTGATTCTGACTCATGGCAGTCCTGCAAGACAGGGTTGAACTGCCCCTTATGGTTTCTGAGACTGTCCATCTTAACCCATGCAGACTGCCGCATGTTTCTCCTGTGCAGGAGCTGATGGGTTTGCATCAAAGCTAGCAGCCCACTGTTTAGCTAACAGTGTCCTTAGGGCTCCTTTCAAACGCAATCAAGCAGGGGAAAAAAAGAGAAATTACAACGGTTGGTGAGGATGTGGAGAAATTGGAATACTGCTGGTGGAAATGTAAATGGCTGTGGATTTAGCAGTTTCTAAGAAAATGAAACATAAAATTTCCATTTTCAGAAGTGGCCGTTGACTCATAGCAGCTCTATAGGACAGGGTAGAACTGCCCATCTGACTTTCTGAGACTGTCATGCTTTTTGCAGGACTAGTTTTTCCCCACAGAGTAGCTGGTGGTTTCGAACTGCCGACCTTGTAATTAGCAGTCCAATGTCTAACCACTATGCCACCATGGCTCCATAAATATTCAAAAAGAGGTGCCAAAGCTAAGGAACACCTGACTGGGACATTATGTTCCATAGAATTAAACCGAACTCTAAACTCTGTGCTGTAGAGTCCATTCTGACTCTGAGGGACCCTGTCGAACAAAGTAGAAATACTCCACAGGCGCTCCGAGGCTATAAATCTTTGTGGAAGCTGGCTGCCTCATCTTTCTCCCACTGAGTGGGTGGTGGGTTTGAACCTCCAACATTGTGGTTAGCAGTCCAGCACTTGAGCCCTTGGTGTCAGCTCATTTTTCCCCTCCCTCCCCGCTCCCCCCGAACCCTTGATAATTTAGAAATTATTATTTTATCGGAATTAAAATTTTTTGCAGAGTTGAAAGAGCACTAATTGTCTGGAACTCGGGTTTAGTTTTAAAGCTGTGCACATGTGCCCCACCAAATCTTGCGTCCGACACATTTCACTGTTGGGAATTTTGCCGTGCCGACTTCACTGGGAGTCCTGCCTGTATTCGGCAATTTCTTCAGTATTTCTGACATGTGCTGTGCAGGGGACATGTCCTTTCACTGTTACGGGGCGGCGCAATATCAGCCCCAGTTAAATGTTTCACAAAAACCTATTTCTCTTCTGTAGCAAACTCAACAGCATCAGAGATATACATGTGCTAATAAACCAGACCACAGTCACTGCCATCAGGTTGATTCTGACTCAGCAATCCTCTGGGGCAGGGTAGACCTGCTCCTGTGGGGCTCTGAGGCTGGAACTCTGTATAGGAGTAGGAAACCCCATCTTTCTTCCATGGAAAGACTGGTGGTTTTGTACAGTTGATAGACATTGGGCCTTAAAGTCAGACACTAGGGCTCGGTGAGCATTAGGGTGGATGAGGGATACTAGATCCATCTCTAAAGGCCAGCCAATCTCAGTTTTAGGAGGCCTGGCAGCCTAGTGGTTATGAGTTGGGCTGCTAACCTCAAGATCAGCCATTCCAAACCCCCAGTTGCTCCTCAGAAGAAAGATGAGGCTTCCTAGTCCTGTTAACAGTTGCAGTCTCAGAAACTCAGCAGGGCCAGTTCTACCCTGGCCTGTAAGGTTGCTCTGAGTCATTATCAACTCAATGGTAATGAGTTCATTTTATTGTTGTTTTTTTAAAATCTCAGTTCTGGCCAATTGTTGTCGCATGGGCCTCATGTTCTCAAAATCTCAGACATCCGTAATTTTCTATTATTTTTATTTTTTTAAATTTTCTATTATTTTTAAGGGAACGTTCTTGATTGTTAAAGCATTGGCTCAAAATGAACTTCCAAATACTGTGCAGGGGAAGCAGAACATCTGCAGGGTGAACATGGTCCAGGGGCCACCAGCTTGAAGTGCTATCATCTCCGTTGGCAGGGATGAAGGCACAGTGGTCCAGGAAGGGGGGAGGGTTTTCTCAGGGTTCCCAGCTGGTAAGTGCCATCCTGGTTCCAAGTCCTGGCTGATCTCTGGTAACGCAGTCTCAGAGTTGTAAGTCTGGACCTGCGGTCCCTCCAGTCACTAGGATGATACCGGACTGAAGCCTCTGGGCTTCCCTTGGACACCGACTGAAGCTGGCATCTTAGAACCAAGGTCTAGGAGAGTTATCACAACACCTTGAGTTGGAGCTAGTTCCCACCATGGGAGGTTTCTACACTGAGCCTGATACTGAGAAATAGAAGGGTGGGATCATTTTCAACATATTTTTCCTATTGCTTTTTTAAAAAAAACTCTTCTAACAATTTATTAGGAAAAATTTCAAACATACAGAAATGTTGAAAGAACTGTTGGTGAACGGCTAGCTGTTCACCATGCAGGATCAACTCCTGACTGACTCCTTTACTGCCCACCTCTCCACTGTCCATCTATCCACATCCACTCTTTCATCCACCTTGTTGTGATTGTTATTTGACCCATTTTAAAGTCACGGTTTTCGGTGCACTTCTCCCTTACACTTCAGGCTGTGTATTCCTTTTCCTTTCAACTTTAATTGACACATAAGTCATTTAGATTTTTACACTTACTGTGATTTCTCTTTTTCCTTTTAGCCCAGACATGGGAAAGAACAGGTTTCCTTGTTTTTGTTTGCAGTGCTCAGTGTTAAAAGTCATTTAATGCTAGATGAGCCCCAGGGGGACATACAGAGGGTGAGCTGGGTGTTACTGACGTAAAAGCAGAGGATACCAGGCTCCGCTGGACACGACACTCAGGTGGTGACAGTGTGGCCCAGGGTGGGAGGACTCACCACACACTACATGATCATTGACGCACTTCCAGGAGTAGCGATCCAGCTTGGGCTGGCAGCCGGCTTTCTCAGCAACTTCATAGCAGCAGTCATGGCGGTGACAGCACCTGAGGCCGCAGGAGGTAGATCAGTAGGAGGGTGTAGGCAGAGAGCTGTGCTTACCACCTGCGATGTGAGGACTGGCTGAATCAGGTCCTCTGGTCCAAGCTCTAGCCCTGGCCATCTCTACCCAGGCGAGTGATCATTTGGCTCCACGAGGTCTCATACCCCTGCCTCCCCCTCTGGTTCTCAGATGCAGCCACACAGACCTCTCTCTTTCTGGCATGAGCTGGCCTTGCCAATCTCTTGCCCTTGCCCTTGTGATGCCCTGGTTATGCCTGAGACATCCTGGCTACTCTTCCTTCTTTAGGTCCGTCCTACAATAGTCCCTCCCCTACTCTTGGACCTCCCTCTCCCCACTGTTACTTTCTCATTAGACAGCCTCTGCTTTTCAGGGTAGTTTCCTATAGTCCCCTCTCACAGACCCCAGGCTGGAATGTTCTCATCGTTACACACGCTCGTTAAACAAAGTTCTTTCCCTTCAGAGCAGGTTTTAAGAAGCCAGTGACTAGGGAGCAGATTGATAACCACCACCTTACAGACCCTAAAATGCAGGTGGGGAGGCTGTGCTCCACAAGTTCACTGACACCCAGCCCAAGGCCTGGCTCACAGTTCAGCTTGCGATGAGGTCAGCTAATATAGACTTTCTAGCCATAATCCCTTCTAGCCTCTATACTCCTGGTTCCAATCCCATTTTTGGAGGGAGTTCTCTGTTACACTAATAGACAAAATTAAGGGAGGATTAAGTCTCCACCTTAGGAGAGGGTGTGAACCAAATCAACCTCTTGTTTCCTTGGAGATCTGGTCTCCATCAAAGCCAGACTCTGTGTAAGAGCCATCTTGGAAGCACACAGAGAAATCTCAGGACCACCAGAAGAAGAGCCATCGGTGGAGAACATTCAAGAACTCTGACTGAAGTGGCAGAGGCAGAGACCAGAGGCACCAAGAAACACCAGAGGTTTGGCACCCAGACCAAGGGACAGAGCAAAGGACCCAGGCTGAGACGAGAGGCTGACACAAAGAGACCATGAGACAGAATAGTAGCAGTGCCAAGACTATGAGACTGTGAGGCAGAGCATCAGGGTGGCTTCCTGGCCCACAGAGGCCAAGGTCCATGTGACTGAAAGGCTGAGGACTGGAGAGATATTTGGCTTCTGGTTGAGGACAAGTATTGGTGTGGACCATAGACATCATCCTTACTGCTCACCGATCCTGACTTGTGGTAATCCGTCAACTTCTCTAATCAACCCCATTAATTACGAAATGTGTCTGTGGGTTCTGTGTAGACTTACCAAACCCAGAGAGCAGTAGCGTGCGGTTGGTGTCAGCAGGTAAAGAAAGGTGGAGGGTGGAGGCATGTTTGATCTCTGCTTCGTGGCAATAGGAAGCCAGAGGAGGTTAGATATGGCCACCCTCCACTCGTTTTACTCAAAGCTGAATGAACATTTACTATTGAAGAAGTTTCTGAGCAGTGTTTATGAATATCTCTAAACTTTCTGTCCTGACTCAGTCATTCACTGGGGTCTCGCCACCTGTGTTGAGGCCCCCCAAAGCTGAGTTCAGTCACACCTTGACCGGTCCTCCCATAGCCTGGTGGGGAGGCAGACAAACTTCCAGACCCCCCAAGCTTAATAAGAACTGCTGGGATGTGGCTAAGAGGAGGGGATTCTAGGAGTTACCAGGCCCAGTCAGGCATCAGGTATGGCCTCTGAAGAGGTGATACCAGAACTGTAACCAGAGGATGTGCAGGAGCCAGACAACCAGGGTGAGGAGGCCAGGGGGCACTGGGCACACCAAAGGCTCCCCAAACCCTCCGTATTCCCATTCATAGTGACCGTAGACGACAGAGTAGAATTACTGCATAGGGTGTCCAAGCAGAAAGTGTTACCTTTCTCCCACAGAGCTGGTGGTGGGTTCAAACTGCAGCCTGTGGTTAGCAGCCCCATTCGGAGCTCACCATGCCACCAGGACAGACAGCAGGGAGGCAAGAAGAGAGGTTGGGAAAGCTCTCAGCACTGCTCTTCTAGGAGGAGCGCACCCTGATTAGGGGCTGAGATCTAGCCAGTAGCCTGGATCCAAATCCTAGCTCCCACCTCGGATTCCCTTTGTAGCCAGTTCGTTCACCCTTCTGTGCCTCCCTTTCCTATAAAAAGCAGTGTTGTGAGGATTCAAGGGGTGCTCAGAATAATATCTGGCTCACTGCAAGTCTCATGTTCTGGGGGTTGATTTTTTGGCCAGACAACAACCGCTCCATGGCCAGGGTGGGGCAGCAGCTCCAGTGTTGGGCCTTACTGACGAAGCTTCCCCAGGAGACCCTTTCCCTCTGCAGCAGCATCACAGGCTGAAATTTCCGGGACAGGTTTCAGTGAACCCGTGGCCTCAGCCCCTGAGTGTGTGAGATTCCACATTGGCCTAAGAATGCATTTACAAAAAAAAAAAAGAGTGCACTTACCAGTCTGAGGGGTCCCTTGGCTGGCCACGGCCACCCAGGCCACAGTAACAACCATAGCTTATGTAGGCCAAGGGGGAGTGCGTGCTGGCACACTGCAAGCTCCCTGCCAACTCAATGAGTCCACGTCGGTGCACATGTGACTTTCTGGAGGCTGAGAGAAAGAAGGCTGCATGTTAGGGTCCCCTGGTCCTAGGGACAAAGGGAGGGTACCAGCCTCAGGAGGGCCTGTGTGCCGCAGCCCGACTGTTGGGTTTTCAGTCTTGCTTTCCTCCATGGCTGTGTGACCTTAAGCAAGAGTTACGCAACTTCTCTATTCTGTTTTTCTTATCTGAGTGATTATAGGGAAAGTGGCTGACACAAAACAAGCCCCGAGTGTCACTGTCAACCTGATAAAGGCAGCCATGAATGGACAAACAAATCACTGAGCCCCAGCCCCTGAGATGTCACACTTTGATTCCCCTTCCCTGCTCTTGGCAACTTAGACTCGGTTACAGTTCACGTCAAGCCCCAAATGTCTGCTCAGTTTCTTTTACTGAAACTAAACAAGAAGCCTTGTGTTGGGGTTTCCCAGCCCTTGCAGTGCCTCATCCTTGACTCCCTTCCAGACTCTGGCTCAGGGGGCTTCGCACATATTCTCCTCATGTCTCCCTTCTTCCTCCCACATTGAAGACACTAGCCAATTTCTTCGAATCCTAACTCACTACAATCACCTGCATTTGACAAGTCAGAAAGAGGAGTTGGGCTCCAACCCCAGCTTCTGATCAATCCAGGCTCCTTCCTCCTCCCCCCGGGAATGGGGCTTGCCAAGGTAATTGAGTGGAAGGATATTATGGGGGTGGAGGCAACTGCTGTTTGAGGACCAAATGAAAACAAACTGCTACCAAGTCGAAGCCGACTCATCGCGACCCTACAAGGAGAAAGCAGAACTGCCCCATGCATTGCCAAGACCCTATCTCTTTAAGGGAGTAGAAAGCCCCATCTTTCTACCTCAGAGTGGCTGGTGGTTTCAACCTGCTGACCTTGTGAACTGCAGCCTAATGTGTAACCAGTACCCAACCAGGGCTCCTGTTACTTGTCAACAGAAGCCTCCGGACGCGACTCTAAACTGGAGTCCTAGAATGATGTAGACAGTGGTGACCCACTTACAACGGAGAAACTGAGGCCAAAAGACATGACAGGACACACACCTGCTCACACAGCCAGTGCAAGGCAGAGTGGACACTCCAAGCCTAGTCCACCTGTCCCCAGCTTGCAACCAAACTTCATGCACTGCATTTGGCTGTCCCGTCTCTTCCTGATCTTTTCATCTAGTTTTCATTAAACTGACTTTTTAAAAAAAGAGTTCAAACCAAAATGAATTCTAATGTTTTGTTCTTGCGTATTGGTATAGGTGAATACAAACGGCTCCAATAGAAAATGTAACAGTGACGTTAGGGTTGTCATCTTCACCTTCTTCACCAGGTGGCCAGTCATCACGTTCCTACGGGGAGCTGATTGCTGCTCTGGACAACCTGTACAGAAATTTCCCTGGCTTCTTCTGACCTTGGGATAAATCTCAGAAGCTTCACTGTCCCTGAAACTGAGGGAATTAGCCTCCTCCAGCATCCTCTGACAGTGTTACCCACAGGGATCCTCCATCCCCATAGAATGGAGTCATGTCTATTCCTGGAATTATACCCTGCCCCTCATATACACCCTCGTTGTACCCTGGTGGTGTAGTATATTAAGCACTGGGCTGCTAACCATAATGTCTGTGGTTCCAACCCATGAATCACTCTCTGGGAGAAAAATGGGCTGGCTGGCTGCTCCTGTAGCCTTCCTGTCTCAGAAACCCTGGGGAGCAGTTCTGCTTTGTCCTATAGGGCTGCTCAGAGTCGGAATGGACTTCGTGACTGTGAATGGGTGGGACACAGAAACCCTCTTTGGGAATGTCTTCACCACATCCTTATAGAGAGTCACTGAGTTTTAAGTGTACTAGTGACTCTCTGGGGTACTTGGGAACACCGTGTAACCCAGAACACGTTGGGAAGATAGTCATGTTTTCCCACATTCCAAGATGTCCTGTGTACACTGAGAACGCAGCTGCATTTGTTAAGATAAGATTAGTCCCAAGGAATGGTTTGAGATTGGAGCAATTTTATCACGATCTTGTTACACTACGTGTGCTTTTACCCTTGCCTCATTAATATATACAGCTGTACTTTGGAAATAAAATTTGCTTTTAGATCATCAATCCACTGGCCACTCTCTTTCTTCAGGTCTTCACTCACTGCAGGTCCATACCGCTGGACGGTGACAATCCTCACCTGGTTTAAGTGCTACTGCTCTGGACCCCTCCTTAGCCCAGTGACCACAGCAGCTCCTGCCACACTGAACTGTCTGCTCATGGGAGTGTGTCTCTAGTCCTTGAGGGCAGAGCAAAGCGATAGGCTACCCTGTGTACTGTGGCCTGCAGGTGGGCAGATAGGAAAGATTCCTTACTTTTGACACAGCCAACCCCATGGAGCATCCTTCTCCAGGCACCCTTGGCAGCGTAGGGTCTCAATCCCAACCCCATCCCCTGAAGCTGTCCCTAGACTTCCCTCTATATCAGATCCTGCCATTCTCTAATATCAAACGGCCCTGAACAAAACCCTCCAGAGGGCCTGGCACAGGGTGGACACCCAGCCCTGGGTTTGGAGCCAGAAAAACCCTCTTGTGCCAACTTATGTAGGGCAGGTCATGCTGTGCACTGTTTGCCTCAATGCCCATGGCAGCCTTTACTGGGAGTGCCAGGGCCACCTGTACCTCTAGTGACGAAGGGGTCTCTATGGTGTGTATGTGTGTGTTCATTTGTATACTCTATGTGTATGTTCTATGTGTCTGTTGATGCGTCTACAACTGTGTCTGTGAGGTTATGGATTGTGTACTGTTTACCACTGTGGCTAAGCTATGGTGGTCGTCTGTGATCTTCTCTGGGTGCGTGCATTTGTTTGTTGGTGCCAGTAAATGGGTGTAAGCCAGCAGAACAAATCTATGTGGCGGGTCTGTGTCTATGCGTGCCCACTGGCATGTCTGTGTTCACCTGCGTTTTGTATGTGTGTGATTTCCTCCTTTGGGTATTCCTGGGTGTGAATCTGAGTGTGTATATATGCATTTGTGTGTCTACCAGTAAGAGTGGGGGTCATATGTGCAAATCTGTGTCTTTGTGCTTGTTAAGTTCTGAGCACCCCAGTTTGCAGAAGGCAGACAGTGATAGCCCAAATCCATTTGCAGAGTCCCCCACATAGATTAAGCCTCTAATGAATTCTTTCTGATCATTAACTAAAACTCCAAACACATCTAGTCAATGCTGACTCATAGAAACCCCCCTGGGGGTTTCAGAAACTGTAAAGGTTTATCGAAGTAGAAAGCCCAGTCTTTCTAGAATGCCAGTCTTTCATCATTAGCCAAAGATGTAAATAATCACACCCTCTGGCAGAATTTCTTAGAAAGTGACTTACCTCCACCCCTCTCCCACCAGCCCAGGGAAGGGCAGTTTCTCTTAGGGGCTGGCCTGGGAGTGTCCTTGAGGGAGGTCACTGAACTGGGGACATTAAAAGGGGTCACATAGTCATGAGCCATGCCCTATCAGTCTTACCAGACTGCCTTGGTCAGAAGACCCTGGACCAATCTTGTAAGCCCTTCTATCTAACAATGTACATGACCCAGTCAGGGTCTGTTCCTGCTTCAGCAGCCCCATGTGGACTCTGATGTATTTATCTGCCACCAGCCATGCTTTCGTGACAGTTTCCTTTGCCCTTCCATGCCCTTTTTAAAGCATCTTATCTCAACAAACCCTTGGATGCGATTTTGACCTCCCTCATCTGGATGGTGTACCTGTGTCTTTGTGTTGGCTTTGTTCTTTTTAAGATTTAATAAATATTCTCCTTAAATTAAGTTTAACACTGGGGTCTCTTTGGTACCTAAAACAGTGTGCATGTATCTGGGCCTGTGTCCCTGGGTTTAGGTAGTGTGTGTGTGTGTGTGTGTGTGTGTGTGTGTGTGTGTGTGACAGAGAAAGAGAGAGAGAGAATTTCCTCCTTTGAGTGTTCCTGAGTGTGAATCTGTATGTGCACTCATGTGTCCTATCTTGTGTCTGAGTTTGCCCTGTGACCCTCAGGGTGTGAGTGTGTGTGTCTGTCTGGGGCTATGGGAGCTCACCCATGAGCTCACACTCGTGGGCCCAGAAGAGCCTGGGTAGCCTATGTCTGTGTGTATCCATGGTCTTTGAGTCTGTCCACTTCCCACCTGGTGTCTGTGCACCCCAGAAATGGCAACTAAAGAAGAGGGGCTTCCAGGGGCCACCCTGAGGTGGGGGAGGAGAAAATATTTCCATCCTCCTCCCTCAGGCAGTGCTCTGTCCTTCACCCCTGTACCTCTCAGTTTCTGGCCACCTCCTCGTAGTCACACAGTAGGCTCCCAGAATGGAACGGGTGAGGGCTCAGTATTCACAGGACCTCTGGCCAGGAGGCAGCTGGCAAGGGATATGATGAGAGGGGTGTCTGGGGAAGGCTGTGCGGTCCCCCAGGAAGGGACGCAGGGGAGTCTGAGTCCCAAGGAATAGTGGAAGAATGAGGGTCCCTGGGGAAGGCTGGGGGAAAGAGCTCCTGGGTCCCTGGGAAAGAATAAGTGGGTGAGTGTCCCTAGAAAGAATTGGAGGAGAAACCATGACTCCTAGGAAAGGCCAGTGAGCTGGAGTCCTGGCCGGGAGTGTGGGCGCAGTGCTGCTGGGTGGGGGGTTCTTGGGTCATCGCAGGGCTCTCTCACTCACCTGCACTAGGTCTGGTTCCGAAGCCCAGTAGCAGCGACAGCAGGAGCAGCATTCCTGGCAGGCACAGAGACTGCACACCCATAGACGAGACCTGTGTGCAGCGATCCCGGCGGCCGGTGAGTGCAGCACCTCTGGGGCCAAGTTGCTGCCCCGCCAGGACCTGGTCCTGGCCCCGCCCTCCTGAGGACGGGGTGGAGCCTGCGGGGCCGAGTCCAGGCCTCCGGAACCCTAGTGGGCATGGACTCTGGAATGTACATTGTTGTTAGGTACGGTACCCACACCTGTATTCTGTTGCCAGAGAATACAGGTGTGATTATCGTGCCTGGTGGGAATCAGAAGCAAGGTGTGTGTTCGTTAACACAGCTGCAGGCACAGAGTAAACTGCAATCAAGATGCACAGGTAGCGCTGGCGTCTGGATCTGCAGCCCCTGCCAGCGCTCACCAGGGCAATCCACAAGGGGGAGGGGAGTAGACTAGTTTAAAGCAATAAAAATGCAAAACCAAATTCACTGCCATCTAGTTGATTCTGACATATAGTGACCCTATAGGACAAGGTAGAAGTGACCCCTGTGAGTTTCTGAGACTCTAAATCTTAACGCCGTGGTTTTGAACTGCTAACCTTGCAGTTAGCAGCCCAGTGCTTAACAACTATGCCAGGGCTCCTTTAAAACAATGAAGATGAACCTATAGAGACAGCAAGTAGAATAAGGGATCCTGGGGGTAGAGGGGGGGAAGGGGAGGAGGGGAAGGGGAGATATCAAGGAGTTCAAGAAGAAAGAAAATGTTTTGGAACTGATTGTGCTAGCAATTGTACATACTGCTTGATGTGATTGAACTGTGGAATAATATGATGTCTGCATTACCTCCCAATAAAAAGGTTTTTTGGGGGAACTGAATGATGATAAATTATAACAAATATATAATAATAAAGTAATAGTTTGGTTCCTGATAGCCTTCAAAATTAACTCTCTACACATCCCTTCCAAGCCATAGGGGGAAACTGAGGCAGCCATATGAACACAACGACTCCTTTTGAATATTCTTCAGGTATATTCCTTTAAAAAATATTTTTAAAAAATATTATTCTTCATTAAGGGCAACCAGTATTTTTTCTGGAACAAATTATAGAGCTTATCTTGATTTTTAAACACACAACCTTCTGATCTTGAATCAGACGTGCCATCATGACGCCATGAGGTCACCTGGTAGTGTTTACATGTTGGGCTTCGATGGCAAGAACCAAAGTAGAACCAAAGTTCTACACCACCAGGCGCTCCTCAGGAGAAAGACAAGGCTTTCTACTCCCCTAAAGAGTCACAGTGAGACACTCACGGGAGCGGTTCTACTCGGTTCTACAGAGTCACTGTGAGTCCCCATCGACCTGATGCCAGTGAATCCGGTTGGTTTTACTTTAACTCCTAATATAACTCACACCATGAAATGATTATTAAGCCTAAAATATTTAGGTAAATAAATGTAATCAAATAAACAAAGGAAAAACGTCATTATATTTCCCTTAAAAATAAACCCTAAGAACTTTTATTTTTCATTTTCTTTTGCTTGGTTTTTGTGTTAGTCCTGTTTACTACAGGAACAAATCCAGAGACACTCAATATGTGTATAAGTCCTACCCTCAACTATCATGATCCCAATTCTACCTTGCAAACCTGGTTAGACCAGAGGATGCACAGCGGTGCAGATGGGAACTGGAAACACAGGGAATCCAGGGCAAATGAATTGCTCAGGACCAGCGGTGAGAGTGGCAATACCGGGAGGGAAGGATGGATAGAAAGCAGGGGTAGAAAGGGGGAACCAATCTATTTATAATGTCCTCCCTAGGGATGGGCAACAGAAAAGTGGGTGAAGGGAAATGCCGGGCAGTGTAAGATAAGATAAAGTAATAATTTATAAATTATCAAGGGTTCATGACGGAGGGGGGAATGGGGAGGGAGAAGAAGGGGAAAAAGGAAAACAAGGAGCTGATTCCAGAAAAGCAAACAGAAAGTGAATTTTTAGAATGATGAGGTCAACAAATGTATAAGTGTGGTTTACACAATTGATGTATGTATGGTCTGTGATAAGAGTTGTATGAGTCCCTAATAAAATGATTTTTTTTAAAAAGAAAGACCTTTATATAAAAGAGTAACTGTATATTAAGAAAACATCATAGCCCAGTCCAGATCAAGTTCATAAGTCTGATATTACCCCATATGTCAGTACTAGTCCATAAATTCCTCTGCAGTCTCACATAGCCATGCAATCGTGTTGAATGCAGGAAGATCATAGGCCAGTGGGTGGAAAGTCTTGTGGATCCAGTGGTGGCGGAAGCTTCTCAACTGGCGTGGGTCTCCACATGACTCCTTCAATTCCTGGCTTTATCAGTGTAGCTCCATGTGGCTTGTCAACAGAAATGTCTCCAAGGGAGCTGAAGCAGAGAGAGAGCGCATGTTTATGGCCTCTAGTAAGCTATTATGAGCTATTTATCTCCTTCACACCTCCAAATGAGGTCATCCTTGTGACCTGACTGACAAGCTAGACTCTACCCCTTCACAAGTTGACAGGAGATAACTGTCACAGTTTTGAACCTAGTTTTATAAAAACTTTGAGGGGAATTTTTTTTAGGGGGGGGGCCATTCTTCCTGATCCTTCACAGAAGAAAAAGCGTGTTTATCCCTATCAGAAAAATCTGAGTCTGTCCTTCTTGTCTTTCCTCTAAAGCTGAATAAAAGGTAGATGTGAGGTTATTCAATCTTGTAGGTTTCTGGGATGGTTTACCCCAGAATTCATGCATCAGAAGCCCTTTTGTAAATCAAAGTAACTTTTATGAGGGAAAGGGAAGTTTCAGGTATTACAGTCTAACAAAGTACAAGCTATCTCTGGAAAGTGTGCAGGCCACAGGTGGACCATGCAAGAGTTCGAGACTGAAGATGGCCACTCCAGCCACTTCAGGGGAGCACGGAAGAACACATGGAAGGAATACTAGAACAGAAACACGAGCCCACAATGCGGAGCCAAGGAACAGAGGACACGCCCTGAAAGACAGTGGCCTGAGAGCCCCAGAGGTCTCAGGGGCACGTGTGTGCCCCACCCTCTGACCTGCAAGAGAGCAAGCACCTGAACAAGAAAAAGTGGCTTGCCCTCAGTCTGGTAATTATCCCCTCCCACCCCCACTGTCTGGCAAGGTGTGGTTGAGGGTATTGGCTGAGTTTAGGCACACCTGTATGATGTCATGTAGCTGGTGCCTACTCTGTGCACCAAGGTGGACTTTCCACCTGGATCTAAGTGGACTGAGTCTGCACATGCTCAGTTTGGATTTTCCCATAGGTGTCTAATTAGTGTGCCTGATTTTCCAAACCCTTAATTGTGGCAGTGACAGCTAATTTTCATCAGTGTAGGCATTCGGTGGATACAACCCCCTTTACACCTAATATAGTTACCGGTCACCTCCACAAAGATTGGAAGGGAAATTGAGAGGTGGTGGGTACTGGATTTGCATGAAGAACTTGCAAAAAAGAACAGAGG